AGAAACTCTTTTTTGCCTTTAGAAAAAGAGAGAAGCATTTCTAAAAATACCACTTCAATTTCGGGGCAAGTCAAAAGTATCACTAATGTGGTTACATATTCACCACCTTTAGTCTTTAAGCACAACAGAAGAACCACCGCTATTAATGCGCTCTCCCTCTCAATATTGGAACAGGACGAAAGTAATATTACTTCATATCCTTCACCTTCGGAGCAGAAAGAAGACAGCACCGTTGACGATGCATTAATCTTGAGGCAGAGCGGATATAGCTCACAAAATCAAAATAGCATTCCTGTTGTGCAAATGGAAACAAGTGTACATTTGCAAATGCAAATGAAACGTAATTCAGCAAATTTAACTACTCAAATTTATTGCATATCTAGTTATCGTTAATATTTTATTCTTTCATTATAGAAAAAGGATTTCGTTAAAAGAATCGCCTGTAATAGATTATACAATCGATTAATTAACAATAAATTTATTAATAGCCATCTATACCTCAAAAGATCCGTTAATATAAAGTCTAAAGTCAATCAATCTAATAAATTCTAAATTAAATTTATTATTATATTTAAAACTTATTAAACCATAATGTTAGTGATCGGATGTCAATGATGAGCAATGTTTGTACCAAGAGAAGATCAATTGATGCCACCTATGATTACAGTGATCTGTAAATGTGCACAAATTTCAAATTTGCGTTGCGGCTACACATGAAAAATCGGGTGTGTCCGTCGTACTTTAAAATTACCGTACGATTGAACTTAAATCCCCGAAATTACATACATGAGATAATAATTTTTCAGATTCAGCCTCAAGTACAGCATATTAGTCTGCTTCTGCCATTTTAGTATTTGGGTTAATAAGAATTTTTAAGATTTACAAAAAAAAAATCAACAGCTAAAAAATATAACAAATGTTTAGATTGGTAATTCATAATGAAATTAGAATATGGAATTTGTGGCAAACTCTGTATGTACTGTAATACGGAATTATACTAAATATTCCGTAAACCATTTTTTCATAAGGTGACAAAATTGTTCAAAATAAAGCGGTCCTTTATTCAAACTGAACTGATCATGTTACGTTATACCTAATTGTGATGTCGTGCTTGACACCTGCCTTAAGTTGTCTGAAGTCGCACTTGACCGAAATTAGCACCTGAAATTAGGTAATTTTAGGCAGATGTAACTTCAGATGCCTGAAGTTGTAACTTCAGGCACGATATCTTCATCACAGTTTAGAGAAGTTTTTTAGAAAGTTACATACTGTATTGTAATACAGCCGTCTTCTTCAATAATAAAGAATAATTCAAATTTAATTATACAAATATATTTGCGCAGAAGTTTTTTTTACTATAAAATTCATGGACTTTATTTTTAGGTTTAACTCCGATGTTAAAAAGTCTATCATTTAGTAGATCCCATTTGTTTTCAACTCGTTTTGTAGTGAGTTACAAACGTTGTGCATCTTGTAACAATCAAATAATGACAATTAATTATCTCCATAGCTCCATTGTTTTGTTGCACAAATTTTAATATTGCTGTATTGGAATGGGGGTATATTAAAATATTATTACATAAATTTAAATTATCATTGACTATGAGACTAAGAAGTTTCACTAACACCTTTTACATTTACTCGTAAAAGTGCTACAAGCTTTTCGGCAAGATCTACCATTACGAATTAGAAAAAAAGTTCATAGTGTTTTTTATATACTCTATTTATTTATATTTACTCTGTCGATACGTGCATACAGACATTATTCTATTCTGCATTTGTACTTTGCGCAATGACTACAGAGTTCTTTAAAAAACTTTCTAGCGATTTAACAAATCTTCTTGAAAATGGTGAAGAGTACAATATATTAATAGAAGTTGGTCAAGTACCGAATCGTCAAATATTTAAAGCCCATTCACTTATTTTGAATTCTCGTTGTTCTTATTTTCGTAATGAATTGGTTAAAATTACTTATGATGAGATGAATATTAAAAAATTTAGTAAACCACATATTTCTGCTGCTATTTTTGAAATTATTATCAAGTAAGCTACAAATATACTATTTTTGCAATTATCAAATATAATTTTTTAAGTATTTTCATCTTGAATTATATAGATATATTTATGGTGGTATCATTTCATTTGATAAAATCGATGCTTCCATAATTCTTGATCTTTTAATTACCTCTGATGAATTTGGACTTGAAGAATTAATTAATACTGCACAATCACAATTGGTTGAAAATCATGCTTCATGGATCCGTCGGAATTTTGACAAAATTTATAAATTAAGTTCTGAAAATAATAATTTCAATGTCTTACAAACATTTTGTAATGATATTATTGCTAAGCACCCAGATATTCTTTTTGACTCTAAAGACTATACAGATATTTCAGAAAATGCCCTAGTCTCTCTCTTAAAACTTGACAATTTACAAATGGATGAAGGAAAAATTTGGGATCATGTTATTAGATGGGGAATTTCTCAAAACTCGGACCTGAAACCTAATCCTGCACAATGGTCTGATGCAGAATTTTTAACTTTAAAAACTATACTCAAAAATTGCTTACCCCATATTCGGTATTTTCAAATTACTGGTGAAGATGTTTTGGAGAAAGTACAACCATATCATCGAATTCTTGAACCTAAATTATGGAGCGAAGTTATGGCTAAATTTATGAATCCAAATAAGATCATTACTTCAGTTATTTTACCCCCTCGAATAGTTTCAACCACTGCATTGCCACCAAGAAATACTTATACTACGACTTCAAGCCGTAAGTATATGTTAATTCTTTTTAATAAGTTGTAAATGATGATTAATGTGCTTTTTTTTTCTTAAAAAATATGTATAAACATAAATTAGAAGGTAAGAACAATAGAATACTTTTGATATAGACTGAATCAAAGTTTTATAAATCAAGATATTGTACTAGTGTGGATTTATACTGTAAAAATCTCTAGAAATATATATAAACCTTTGTTTAATTTATTACTTATTATTAATATTCCAACAAACTTATTTTAATTGGCTTTATGCATTCTATTAGTTCGTGAGTATAAAGTTCATAGATAACTAATTATCAGAATGTAAGTATTATATGGCATTTCAATAATTTTGATTAAGATTTTTTTTAAATTGACCTTTTTATAAAAAATTTAAGGATAAAATAAGTTAAGTTGACAGAAATATTCTATTCAAGCTATATGCGAAATGAGCCCTCCCCCAAAATGTTTTAAAGGACACAGCTTGCAGGAAATTGATTCCGGCTACAGTTCTTGGGGATGCGACGTGTGTGGCAAAAATAACCCTACATGGGTAAATTTTTATTTCGATTATAGTAGTTTGAGCCATACAAACTTAATAAATCGGTTTTTATAACCCGGCCGGGTCAAATTTTTCAAAATTTTGACTATATTTACTACCTGGGTTGTATATAAAAAATTTTTATATGTTTTTTATATAACAAAAGCCGGTTTCCGGGTTATTTTTAAAATTTTATATTATGAGAACTAAAAAAATTAACTTTGTATGGCCTCAAATAAATACATATTTATATTAATATTATAAAATTTTGGTACAGAAACTTGGTAGCTGCAAAATTTGCGATTTCGCCACTTGCCCTGTCCATTGCAGTCCTGGACAGAAATGTGAACCTCTAAATCGCTGTAGTAAGGGTCATCCTCTTTATAATCTGAAAGCTAAACCTTCTTGGGTATGTGACATATGTAAAACACATTTCAACCAGCATTTCAGTGACTATCGTCGCTTTGGATGTAAAGAAAAAAATTGCAGTAACAATATATGTTATGAGTGTTCACCTTTAAAGAGTTGACTCAAGTTAGAATGCAGTAAAGAAAAAAAATTTTAATATTTGATAATATAAAGATTTATAAAAAATTATAAAGGAAAATTATCTCAAATTATATTATTTTTATTGAGTACTCTAATTTGAAAATTTTTTTCTTATTAAGTTCCAAAGTTATATTAAATCGCTAGACTAGACCAGTTTTGGACTGAAGTTATGAACTTGTTCCTAATTAGTTTAGGATCAGACTTTTACATACAGTATATAGTACATGCGCGCAGACACTTTTCTATTCAGCATCTGTAAATTGTCGTATAAAACGGCTACAGAGTTTTTCAAAAAACTTTCTAGCGATTTAACAAGTCTTCTTGAAAATATGAAGATTACATGATCAGGGTTGGGCAGCCTTTATGTCCGATGAATTTTACCAGATACCGTACATATCAGTTTGTCCGGTGTCCATTGATCAATTAATATATATAACGTAAAAATTGGTAGTATATTACTGTCCTAATAACCCCGATCACTATTAACTTGACTTATAAAAGAGATAGATGCTGACACTTAAACGTTTGGCAACTTTTCGAAATAATAGACCTTTTAATTTTTTTTTCAAATATTTTCCAGCGAATGAATGTACTTTGAAAGTATATTCAATAATATTTATATTAGTTACCTGATCTTAAATTACATATATATATGAATTTATTGAATCTCGTATTATGCAGAAATCACAAACTTAATCGAATCAGCTGAAAAATCATTCGGCCATTTTTATCAGGTGTTCCAGGAATTATAAAAATAGTTGTAATGCCCACTAAATTATTTTGATTCTCGATATTCTTATTTTCGTAATGAAAGAATACTTTATTAATGATTTCAGTAAACCACAAATTTTTGCTATCGTTTTTGAAGTTATTATCAAATATGTCATAAATTATACTATTACTAATGAATTAAATTTTTAATTTGCAATTATCAAATATATTTGAGCATTTTGTCTTGAATTATTTACTGTATTGTCGTGAAATAACAGGCCGGGGCGTTATTTAGAGTAATGGCCCGAATTAAGCTTATTTAAGCCAAAATTTGAAATTACACCCCGGCACGTTATTTCGCGACAATACAATAGACATATATATGGTAGTATTGTTTCATTTGCCCTATAAAAAAAATTTGTCTGCTTTTGTTCGGTTT